TTTTATTGATACTTTTACAGAGAGAGAGAGAGAGGGAGGAAGAGGGATAGAGAAATAGAAACATTGATGAAAGAAACATCATAAATTGACTGCCTTCTACATGCCCCCTTCTGGGGATCAATCCCACAACCTGGGACTCAAACCACAATCTCTTGGTTCCTGTGTCCACCACTGAGCCACACCAATATCTTTTTTATTTCTTCCTTGATCTCATTGTAAACACAATCATTGGAAATAACATGTTATTTAGCATCCATGTTTTTGTGTGTTTTTTAGTTTTATTCTTGTAATTGATTTCAAGTTTCATAGCATTTTAGTTAGAGAAGATGCTTGATATGATTAAAATTTATTGAGACTTGTTTTGTGTCCTAACATGTGGTCTATCATAGAAAATGTTCAATGTGCACTTGAAAATAATGCATATTTTGCTGCTTTGGGGTGGAATCCTCTGAAGATTTTAATTGAGTGCATTTGATCTAGCGTGTCATTGAAGGCTGCCATCTCCTTTTTGATTTTCTGTCTGAAAGATTTTTCCATTTATGTCACTGGGGTGTTAAAATACCCTACTATGACTGTATTACTGTCAATCTCTTCCTTTATGTCCATCAAGATTAGCTGTACATATTTAGGTGCTCCTATGTTGGGTGCATCAATGTTGACAATGGTTATATCCTCTTGTTGGATTGGTCCCTTTATCACTATGTAGTGTTCTTCTTTGTCTTTTACTATAGCCTTTGTTTTAAAGTCTATTTTGTCAGATATAAGTATTTCTTCCCCAGTTCTTTTCCCCTTTTCTTTTGCATGAAATAACTTTCTCCATATTTTTACTTTTCATGGGTTTATCTTTTGCTCTGAGGTGGGTCTTTTGAAGACCACATATACATGGGTCTTGTTGTCTTATTCATTCAGCTAACTTATGTTTTTGTTTGAAGCATTTAAGCCCTTTACATTTAAAGTGATTATTAATAGGTATATATTTATTATCATTTTATTTTTTTAACTATGTCCCTCTGTTGTTGTTTTTCTTCTTTTCCTTCTTCTGCTTCTTAAAGCAAGCCCTTAACATTTCTTTTAATACTGGTTTGGTAATAACAAACTCTTTTAGGTTTTTCTTGTCTAAGAAGTTCTTTATTTTATTTCTCCTTCATTTTTAATGATAACTTTGCCGGGTAAAGTAGTCTTCGATGTAGGTCCTATTTTTTCATCATTTTCAATATTTCATGCCAATCCCTTCTGGCCTGAAATATTTCTGCTAAGAAATCAGCTGGCAGTTTTATGGGAGCTCCCTTGTAGGTCACTGACTGCCTTTGTCTTGAGGCTTTTAATATTCTCTCTTTGTCCTTAACATTTGGCATTTTAATTTTGATGTGTCTTTATGTGGGCCTGTTTGGGTCACAGTTGTTTGACGCTCAGTACTTCGACTTGTAAGTCGTTTTTCTTCACCAGGTTAGGGAAGTTTTCAACATTATTTCTTCAAATAGGTTCTTTATCCCTCCTTTTCTCCTTCTGGTACCCCTATGCCGTGGATGTTGTTATGATTCATGTTGTCCCAAAGTTCCTTTAAACTATTCTTGTTTTTTGTCATTTTTCTTTTTGCTGCTCTAATTGGGTGTTTTTTGTTGTTGTTTTTTCCTATCTTCTGATTCACTGATTCAATCCTCTTCTTCACTGATCCCACTGTTTATTACTTGCAGTGTATTCTTTATTTCAGATATGGCATTCTTCATTTCTGACTGGTCTTTTTTTATGGTTTCTATATTCTTTTTCATGCTGTTGACCATCCTTGTAGTCATTATTCTGAACTTTATATCTGATAAATTATTTATCTCCACTTCATTTAGCTCATTTCTAGCAAATTCTCTTGTTCCTTTATTTGGGGCCTGTTTCTTTGTCTCCCCAAATTTTCTGCCTGTTTGTTTCTATGTATTGGGTAGATCTTCTATGACTCCCAGTCTTGGTAGTGTGGTCTTATGTAGTAGGTGGCCTGTGGGATCCAGTGGCACAGTCTCCCTGATCACCAGAACTGGATTCCTTGTGCGATTTGTGTGGGCCCTACTGTTGTAATTGGGTCTTGATTGCTATTGGCCTATTCATACATGGGCGTGACTCTCAGGCTGGCTCACAGTGAGACTCAATCTCCAACACAGCTTGCAGTCTGCTATGCCAGTGCTGATCACAACTAGTGGAATTTGCCTTAGCAGGTTTGGTTTCCTGCCAATATCTCCCTGTGGCTATGCTGCTTGTGAAGCTTATTGCATACTGCTGTATCATCTGAAGTTGGCCACTGGGTGTATTGGTTCTCATCACTTTGGAGAGACTCTGGTGCAGGCCAGCGTCAGACTCTGTCTGTAATTGTCAGCTGAGCAGTCTATTTGGAGCTGTCAGCAATCCACAGCTTGTGGCTTCCTCTGCGGGGCTTGGGTGAGTGTGGAAAGGACTGAGCTTCACAGGAAGGTCTTCTTTTACTAGCCTCAGGCCCAGGAACAGGTGAGGCAAACACTCAAAACACACAGGGATCTGCCTCTGCCTGCAGGCTGTCTCTTAGTCTCAGTCACTTAATGAGCCTGGGCTACAGTCTTCAGCAGAGTGTAACTCCACATAGTGGGGCAAGAGGGATTCCTATGGGTGGGGCTATTGCTTCACCCCCTACTAATGCTGCATGGGTGGGAAAGCTCTGCCTGAGAAAGATGGCTTCTTCAGAATGGGGAAATGACTCAGCATAGGGATCCTGGCATCTGGCCAAATAGGACATATTTTTAAATGAACAATAATGGCCCTGAGAACACATATTTCTGATATGGCTTCTTTGGCAGAGGAGAGCAAGATTTCAAATATAACTTAAATTTAGTTGACAAGCAACTTAATTTATTCTAATAGCATTAATATCTGTGATAAATGTGACTATATGTACTGGTTATATCTTAATGAAATTCCAGTGCAGAATGTGGAAGATAACAATGAATCTTATAGTTAGCTATCAAAAGGCAAAGCAGAATAGGAACTTTACTTGGAGATAGAATATAAAAGATGTAACTAGTCTACATCTGTTTTATGAAAATAACATTATTTTATTTCAGGGGGCATCTGACAAAACCTAGATGTCAACCAGGAGCTCTAGTTTCCAGCAAATTTTTGGACTTCAGCCTTATTAAAAGCAACCAAACAGTGAGTTCAATTTTATTATTATGGACATCTTCTAAAATATAGACACTGTTTATTGTCTTACACTGATTATAACTCTGCTGATGCTAAAATATTTTGGTAATACTGTTTATCTAATTGATAAACTGAAACAAACCAAACTCAATTAAGCTCAGCAAGGACCCTTTCCTTGAAATCTGTGGTGTCTTTGAAAATACCAAAGAAGAGAGTTTAAAAGAAACGTAGACTAGAGGATCAAGAAATGTCTTGAAGAATGCTTACATTTAAATATTAGGAAGAGTAAAAACTAAGTAAAAAAGACAAATTAGAAGAGGATAAAAAAGGAGAAGGGCAACAAACCCCATGTGATATCAGAAGTCAAGAAATAATGTGCTTAAAAGTGGAGGAAGATTAAGAGAGTAAAATTGCACAAATTTAGTAGAATCCAGAGAGTGGATTAAATCTCATTGTAATCACTGCCTTCGGTAAATAAATAAATAAATAAATAAATAAATAAACAAATAATCTGAGATAAAAAGTCACACTGAATTATTATGAAATTTTTGGGGAAAATTGTAAGTTATATGTAAGTGTGAAATAACAACAACAAAAAGAACAGAAAAAGCATGTTGAGTAAATGTAGGAAAAAGGTTAATCAGACGAGGTGGGGTTAGAGTATGGAGGATCTCTGAAGACAGCAGTATGAGATAAAGGCCTATGTAATTTCCTAAAATCCAGCTGACTTATCTAGGTTAGCTCTTAAAGCTAACCATAAACAATGGAAGCCATATTTCTTAATATGTCAACTTCCACAGATTTTTTTTGAGCCACTTTCCTTCCTTTTCCCACTATTGCCTTCAATAATAAACTCTCCTACCTATTTTTCTACTCTAAAGAAATCTTCCATCTCAGATTGTCCTAAGTCCCCTCATAGAGAGGAATGGAAATATATTATTCAGAGTATTGGTATATGCTGAAGGCATTTGAGCACATAGGTGACATGAAGAAAGAACTATGTAAGAAGAGAAAGGTAAACTAAGAATTTAGAATCAGGAAAGTCAGGTACTATCAGCAGTAACACAGTATGATTGATTATCAGCTTGATTAGTGCTGAAGCTATGAGAATGAAAAGAAAATGGTGAATTTAAAAGATATTTTAATAAAATAATTCAGAGTTTGGACTTCACTGTTGAGATTCCTACTCTCTTACCTACTTTGCCTTCCCCTCCCACATATTTCATAATTGTTGCTCTTTGCATAGATATTGCTCAGAAAGAACAGATAAAATAATAAAACAAAGGACAAATTCCCAGGGAAGAATAGCTTGTTCTTCATACAAATTCAACCATTTCAGTTCCACATAGGTTTTAATATTCTCTTAAGCATGTGTATTCATAAAAATTATTTTACTTTATACTTTAGTCTCATTTTAAAAGCCCAGATCATTAATTTGGATCTATCTTATTAACTAAAAATGTATTTAATTCACTATCCAAAATGAAATAATTGGACTTTCTATTGGGGACTACATGTACTCTAGTGCATAGAGTACATTCCTGTATTATCCAGATGAAAGTTTATGTTATTTTGAGTTTATATAAGTTCTAGACTAAATAATGAGAACACCTATTTAATAGGAGTTATATTTGCCCTCAGTTTTTACTGTTCCTTATTTTATTTTGTTGATCTGTAACTTTGGTATTAAAGGTGTGAGAAATTATGTGTATTTAAAGTATGAAGAACTCATGAATAACATATCCACATGCCTTTTGCCAGAACTAAATAACCGACCTCATATGAATTAAAGCATTCCTCAACTTAATAGACCTTTGTCTTTTTTCTTATAAATAGAACCCAGGATGACTTCTCCTATTAAAGAAGAAAGTGATGCAGCTGATAATGCTCTCAAAAATTCAGAAAATGAGGCTTCAAATGACTGTAGTACAGATATAGAGCCTGAATCTAATATGATTTCTCAGAATGATAGCAACCTAATGAACAGGGAGTTAGACATACCAACCTCCCAGGAGCATGTTGTTCTTCAATCAGCAGAAGAAAATAAGCTTGAAGTAGAGATGAACCAAAAAGATGCTCAAGAAGATTTAAAAGAAGAATCCCTTCTAATTCAGATTCCCATTCCTAGGAAATGGATCTCTCTCATGTCAGGATTAGGGACATTTACCCATCTGAATATACCACTAGTAAAAATTAATAAAAAAAAGCCTGTAATTAATAGAGCAAGACTTAACTCAGGAAAAATTCAGAGGAAAATAAGTGATATGTGTTATATCAATGTAAATTACAAAATTCCTTACCAGTTCTCAATTTCATGGAGAGTCTCATTTATTAACCATTCTGAGAGGAGAAGAATGATTCTTCGTCAGTTGTGTGAGAGACATCTCCCTCAAAATACCAAGTGGATAAAGCAAAAGTATGTAGCATTTGTTGTTCGCCCAAATGTTCTCAACCATAGGGTAAGAGAGATACTATTTGGAAGACCTATGAGGGTGTACTACTACTATCCCCTCAGTGAAAGAATAGCATTAAACATAGTATCCAAGTCAACTGGTACTAAAAGGAAGATGGAATTTCACATTTTTGTTAGACCTGTGTTTGGTGTCCCACGGACCCAATTGGAAAACAGATTTACTAAAAGAGCTTTTGAGGATCATTTGAGATCACGTTATTACACAAGGGTGATTATCATAACAACTGATAATGGTTGGAAATACCTATGTCCCATTTGTGGGAGTATTTTCAACAGTTTGGTTGAATTTAGACAGCATTCTTGCAACTTTCTTGGACATTAAGTTCAATTGGGGTGATTTAAAAAGTTTTAATTTTTAAAATTCATAATTTGGCTACCAAATTGAGAGAAAATTGCATGCACATAAATTTTAGTAGTGTTAAATGGAGTTGCATATACAAATACAAAATAATAGGATACATAAAAAAGAAACACCTTGAGAAGAGAAGAAAAACTCATAAGGAAACTGCTCTTTACACTGTGCTATTACAAACAGAGCATCAGAATATCAGGCCCTTGATCTGTTTTAGTCAGGAAATGAACTAAGAAAATGTTAGTATTTTCTTAACAACCATTTCTGTTTATAGAAATATTGTTAATATCAGATTCCAAGACCTGAATATGATAGCAAATATATTAGAGAGTTAGACAAAGCCCTACCAGGTGTTTCTACAGACTGCAAAATTTAATATCTGAAATGTTTTCCAATAATGCAATAAAATCATTTTAAAGTCATTAAAAGTCGCATTGTATGATTACAACTAAGTAGAAAACATTGCATCTAGGGAAAAAATGTTCAAGTATTATAAATGTGCTATGTTTAGATAACAATTTTGATAATTAAAAATAAATTCAAAAATAATGTGATAGAAGTGAAATAATTGAGATAGACTTGAACAAATATTAAACTGGAAGCATACAACTATAATATTTTATTTTCTTGGATAGGTTCTTCACCAATGCCTACCATTACAATTAAAATTTTACTTTCCCCCATACATATATGCACAAATATACACACATATTTAAGGAGTTTCCTATCTTGCTACTTGCAGTTCAAACTGCTGTACCTCTTCTTTCATTTGATCTATATAGTCATAAAGTTTAAAGACAGACTTCATAACTTCATCTTTATTATATTAACTTATATTAATTGGTCATTCATTATGTATGAAGCACTATGCTAGAATCATTGTATGTGTTGGTTAATCTTCACAATAATCTTACATGTATGTATCTTTATGGTAAACTTAGATGCATAGAAAGTTTCCCAAAAAATCACTTTCTTAGGTCACACATTTAGCAAGCATGTGCTCTTATTACCGTATAATAAAATAATATAATTTGAATTTACTTCAATGGGAGGTTTGCTACATATTATGCCTTATTTAATAAGTATATATGTGTGAAATATTTAATCTATAGGTATATTGTATTAAATAAATTCTAATTTCTCACGAAGCAGAGGATACTTAGGTTGTATCTAACAAATGTCTTTTTTTTTAAATCTGGAGACAAATTTGCTACTTCTAGCTACAATTATTCAGTGTCAGCAGTGATTCAGAACAAACAAACTGATTGAGACAATTCAAGCAACTAAATCAAATGTTTCTTCCTTTAAAAAATATGCTATTTGAATTTTAATATGAAAGAAATTGAGATATTAAACACATTTTTACAAAAATATAAAGCATGAGAAGTAAAAATTATTTCGTTCTGCATTTTTCCTGAGGATAAAGTAAAAATAACAATTGGATTTTAAAAGTTGGTTTTATCACTGTCATATTACCATCCATAGAATCCACATTTGAGCTGCTAACTTCTACAAAATTTGAAAATATGATTTAAATGTAAAACAAAATAAACTAAATATTCACATTTTTGTCATATACACAAAAGTTTATATTGAGCTAAGATTTAAAAAATGACAAATGAGAATCATAATTAAATCATAATAGTGAAATCAGAAGAACCTAAAATAAAGAAACCTAGATATATCTTTCTCTGGCACTTGATAGTTATTCTCAACTTCTATAGAGAGAGAAGGCAATCTTTTACCTTGGGAAAGATGGATGAGTAACTTCAATGTTTAAAAGGATTGAGTTTTCTATCTTTGAAAATTCATGAGCTCAACATCCACACAGGTATATTTACTTTTTCTCAAAGACACCGGAACAAGCACGTATTTTATTTCTTTGTATTAGTAATTTTCAGAATTCCTTCACAAAACATTATATTTTTAAAATATAGGTGCAGGCTCAGTCGGTTAGACCATCATCCTATACACTGAAAGACTGTGGGTTTGATTCCCAGAAAGGACACATACCTAGGTAGTGGGTTTGATCCACAGTCAGGGGACATACAGGAGGCAACTGTTTGATGTTTCTCTCCCTCTCTTTTCCTTCATCTCTCTCTCTCTAAAACAAGTATATATCTATCTATATCTATATCTATATCTATATCTATATCTATATCTATATATCCCTAATATGCAAATAGACTGAACGGTGGAACAACCTCACAACTGAACATCTGAACAACCAGTCACTATGACATGCGCTGACCACCAGGGGGCGCACATAGAACATGGTTGGCATCGGCAGCAGGTGGCAGAGCACGGAACATGGTGGGCATCAGCCACAGCCGGATAGTGGAGCAGGTGAGCGGGGGCACCAGACCAAGGCGCTGATCGCTGTCATTGGGGCAAGCATCTAGTGGTTACTGAAAATTCTTTGCTCCCGCATACCATGGTCCTGCCTGACACTTGCACCTGCTACTGGTGCCAGTCCCGCTTGTACGCATTGCTAGTGCCAGAGTTTTCACTCGCACCCGCTGCCAGCGCCGGCCCCAATTGCTCGGCACCGTCAGTGGGTGTGAGTGGTGGCTGCAGGCCTTGATCGCCTCTCAGGGCTTCTCCACCTCCCCTCTTCCTGAGGGGCGATCGGGGCTGGCAGCTGCCTCTCGCACCCACTGCCGGCAATGGCCCTGCTTGCACCCGCAGCCAGTGCCAGAGCCACTGCTCGCACCTTCTGCTGGCACCCGGCGCTGGTCCCGATCGCTCAGTGCCATCAGCAGGGGCAAGTGGTTGCTGCTGGCCCTGATTGACCCTCAGGGCTTCTCCACCTCCCCCTGCTCCTGAGGTCAAATTGGGGCAGCAGCCACCACTCGCACCCACTGACGGCACTGGCCCCATTTGTACCCACTGTTGGCACCAGCCCCAATCACTCTGTACCGTCAGTGAGTGCTAGCAGGGCCAGCACCTTCAGCGCATGGGAGCATCAGTGTGTGGAAGCTGCAGCAGTGGGAGCGGGGCAACCAGCAGAGAGGGGACCAGGGGCCACAGTGGGAGAGGCTGGGCAGGAGTGCGGAGGATGGGCTGAGACACGCCCCCATGCCCACCACAGCCTTGCTGCCCAGAGTCCCTTTTAAAGTGCAAGAATTCATGCACTGGGGCCCCTAGTTTATATATAAAAAACATATCCTCAGGTTAGGATTAAAATATATGTATATATATAACTAGAGGCTTGGTGCACAAAATTTGTGCACGCGGGTGGGGGGGGCCCTCAACCCAGCCTGCAACCTCTTGCAATCCGAAACCCCTCAGGGGATGTCTGACTGCTGGTTTAGGCAGGGATCCCTGCGGGATCGGGCCAAAACTGGCAGTCGGACATCCCTCTCAGAATCCGGGACCACTGCCTCCTAACCACTATCCAGCCTGCCTTCCTGATCTCCCCTAACCACTCGGCCTGCCTGCCTCATTGCCCCTAACCACTCATCTGCCTGCCTTATTGCCCCTAACCACTCTGTCTGCCTGATTGCTTCTAACCACCTCTGCCTGCCTGCCTGATCACTGGTAACCACTCGCTTGCCTGCCTGATCACCCCTAACCACTTCTGCCTCAGGCCCCACTGTGGCAGCTTCATCCAGAAGGACAACCAGAATGACATCTGGAAGGTCATTTGGCTGTCTGGTCTAATTAGCATACTACGCTTTTATTATTATAGACTAGAGGCCCAGTGCACAAAAATTTGTGCACTCGGGGGGGGGGGGGGGCCCCC